CAGGGATATCATACATGAAGAGAGTAAAAGACCATTACATAGAAGAGAAAGAAAAGGCCAACAGTTCAGAAGAGACTCTGAAAATTGCACTAAAGCATTGAGAAGTCAAAACAAAGGGGGGGGGGAGAAAAGAAGAAAAAAGAGAGAAGAGAAAAAACCAAAGGGAAGATAGTCAGAAGTAAATGAACATAAGTTTCCAAAGGGCAGCACAAGAAGATAAAGCAAAGTAGTATGACAGAATGTGCAAAGAGCTAGAATTGAAAAATAAAAAGGAAGAACTTGCTCAGCATTTCTCAAACTGACAGAAATTAAAAACAAGTTCAAGTCTCACATTGCAATGGGCTTGATCTTGCTTACTATAATTCAGGGAGCTCTGATGGCCACGTGGTAAGGAGTTATGATTCCAATCCAAAGGAAGGCAGTTTAAATCTTAAATCCACAGCTGTTCCTGTTCCTCAAGAGAAGGGTGAGAAATCTACTCTCACATGATTTATAGCCTCTAAAACAGACAGCAGTTCCAATTGGTTCCAATTGAACAGGACATAACACCACCATCATTTTGAAACCAAATCCATCTCACAGGTACACAGATGCAAGAGTCCTTCTCACTGACATTTAAGACTACATCATGGCCACCTTTTCTCCTGATGTTTTGATGCAGCTAATTATAACCTACAGATGTCATTCAATTTTGTAGGTAGGTAGAAGTGAGACAAAGAAAAGTCCAACTTTTAAAAATAAACCACATTTAATTATTGTTTATAAGATTGAGAGGCATAGGGGAGCTCTGGTGGCCTAGTGGCAAGGACCTGCAACTACAATCCCAGGGGTGCACGGTTCAAATCTACCAGATGCTCTGCCAGGGAAGGAGGGATAATCTCCTCCTGTACCAGTCAGATCTGATTTGACGGTACACTCACACAAAAATAATAAAAATAAAAAAAAACTAAAATAAGATTGAGAGGCAGGCACTACATTAACACAACGGAGTATTACTCAGTTATAAAAGAGGAATGAGGACCTGATGCATGCCACCCTGTGTTGATGAAGTCAACTAGTTGCAAACGGATAAATACTGTGGGATCTCATTTCTACAAAATATGTAAATATATAGAAACCAAATATTATCACTTGTGGTGAAGTAAGTAGTATGTTATACTGCTAACTTATAGGCTGGTGGTTCAAATCCATCAGCTGCTCCACAGGAGAAAGTTGGGCAGTCTCTTCTATTAATATTTATAGTCTCAAATACTCAAATGAGGATCATCATGAGTCAACAATGGTTTGAGGGCAGTGTTATAGGTTATAAGGATGGGAAGAGGGGAGTTTATTAGAGGGCATGAATTCATGCTAACAGCTGTGGAATGATTTGGGAAGAAACAGCAGGAATAATATGCAGAATGTGATCGCTGTCACTGATCTGCACACATAGAAATTACTGATGGTGTTTTATGTGTATTTTCATCACAGTAAAATTAAAAAAAAAATTAAAAATCAAATAAACCAGGTTTGCATTTAGTCCATGGTGGTTTTTCTGCCTGCTCGAGTTTTGCCAAGTATCCCAGCATTTGCCTCTCCCAAACTCCAGGCGGACAGATGACAGCCTGGCAGGTCCTGCAGCACTGCCATCACACTGGGGCTCTGACTGTTCAGGCCACCTGCAGGAGCCGGGCCGTCCTCACCTGTCCTCACCTGCACTGAGCTAGAGCATATTCCTGCCCACGGATCTGGAGGATAATGACAACACCAGCTTCCAGGTTAATGATGATCAGCAACATCCCTAAGCAGAGGAATGTCCTTCATGGCCAGCATGAGAGCACAATGGGCTATTCCCATGGGCTCCGGAAGAGCTGAAAATCTGTTTCCAAAATGATAACTTAGTCATACACGTTGCTGAGTCAGAACAGATTTGATGACAGTCTTCTGAACTCTCATTCTCCTTAGAATTTGTCTTTGTTTAAATGTCTCTGCTATTGTCTGAAAGGTCCAGTCCTTGGAAAAGGGCATCATGCTTGGAAAGGTCAGTGAAAGAGAAGAAGAACCCTCATTGAGATGGACTGACACAGTGACTGCTGCAATGGGCGTGAACACAGCAGACTGTGAAGCTGGCACAGGATAGGGCAAGGTTTGTTCTCTTATACGTGGGTGGCAAGGAGTTGAAGTCAATTCCATGGCACCTAACAATAACATATGTAAGAAATAACCACCAATTGTTTTTCATGACATTATTCTCATTTATTATTAAATACATGAAGCAAGCAAGATATACAGCACACATTCCGACATTGTTTAAATAAAGAGCTCCACATATAGTCTGGTGATAAATGTACACTGTTTATATATTCTATTCTCAAGCACATGAATAAATATGAACAGTAGCCATTTTCATCTATCACAGATCAGCAACATTTCGCATTAGTGATTCCACAAATAATAAGGAAACCATAAAATTCATTTTCTTCACCATGAGTATAAAAACTAGAAACTCTTGCCATATCTAAGTAGTATCCAAAAAGCAGAGAACGAAGTGTAGTCACAACCCTGAAAATAAGGGACCACACTCTTAATTCTGTAAATTGTCAGAAGCCTCAATAATAGCATGTACTCTTCTGGAAAGCTAAAACCCAACAGCAGATTCAGATTCGGTCCTACAAGTACTAAGAAATCTGTACTGAAGAAATGCTGTCTTTTTATTTTAAAAATTAGTTCAAGTTTTAAAATGGGTGTGAACTTCTCACCTTATTATGAATGTGGACAGAATGTGAATAAACTGATAATAAAATGAATATGGTCTGTGGTAACACTTTACATGGTCTTCCAAATGAATGTTTCTACTACTTTAGAAATAAAATATACACTTAAAAATGTTTTCTATTAAAAATAGTTCATGAAAAGCAATTCTTTTAGACCTCAGAAGTGAAGGCCTTTAGGAAGCCTGCCCCGTCAATGGAATGTTCTGGTAAGGAACGCAAGTCTCCCATCTCTGAATGTGAGCAGTGTGTCAGGACAGAGCCTGAGGAAGCTCAGCACCAGGCCGCACAGAGCCCTCCAGAGCAGTCCAGGATGGCATCTGGACTCCCTGCCTTCTCTTGTCAGCTGCCTACAATCTTCCTTTTTTAATGACTTTATCTTAGCTCTTACTTCTGAAAATAAAATTCTGCTTCACAAAAAATTATTTGAAGGAAGCATTAATGAAGAAAGTAAGGTGAAATGGTATGGAAAATGGCCTGGTCCCAAAAAAGCCAGCCCTCCTCCTCTTGTGCCTCAGAGAAGAAAGAAGCCCGAGGCTAGTAATCAGCCTTTATATACTGTACAAGAGGGTGGCCTGTGAGCCTCAGGTACTGTCCTTTTACTTTGAGTTTTACTCTCAAAGGATAGACCTGAATGTACTCAAGTAAAAAGACTTGCTCTCATGGGGCAATCTTCCACAAAGGTAAAATTCACAGGGCTCTTGGGCTAAAAATCAAGCCAGTTGCTGCTGAGTCAGTGTCGACTCAGGGAGACCTGTGTGTGTCAGAGCAGCACTGCACTTCACAGGGGTTTCAATGGCTGATTTTTTGGAAGTGGAGGACCAGGTCTTTATTCCAAGGTGCCTCTGGGGGTACTCAAACCACTAACCTACTGGTTAGCAGCGAGTGTGTTAACCCAAGTATCCAGCTGCTCTGAGGTTTTCAGAGTCACCTTTTATTTGAAAAAAGAACAGGATGAAACTAAAAAAGAGGGAAAATAATGTATCCTCACTGTCTTTCAAAGGTAAAATAAAGAAAAATAAAGAAAAAATACTATATATGTACTGTGACAAATAAAATAGATGCATTAAGATAGTTTTAAAATTTAAAACACTTATTTTTAAACTAAATTAACTTGGAAACCCAAGAGAGGATGTATTTTAACACGATATGGCATGATCTTAAAGTGCAAACTGAAAAACTGGGAGGAAAGTGAACCCTTCAATTCACTAGCCACAATTTGACAGGTAAAGAACAACCTTAACTTATACAATGCTCTTTCTTTAACAGGGCTTTTTATAGAGTATCCTGCACAATTACAGCAAAATCCCCACAAAAATATGGCTCTCCTCTATACATTTTATGCAACTGGACAGCAGGATGTAAACACACTTACTTATGATGTTGTTTTTATCAACATCACAATAGGACCATAGCAGCTATCACTTTCTTCATTTGAGCCTCAAGCCCAAAGTCACAATTTTTATTTTCCAGGGACACAAACAGAAACAAGAAAGGCTTTGCTTGAAATCACAGAATAAATTACTAACATTACCTAAGACAGAATCCACCTTTTGGGAAACACCTGTGTCACCTTCAAAGTCAATACATTACACAATGAGTCTAGATATTATATTAATACCTTGTAACAATTCCTCACAAAGGTCAAATCTGCAAAGGCTTAAAAAATCACTTATTATAAGTGAGAGATCCTGTCACGTTAGGAAATTAAAATGCAGTGCAATATTCCAAAGATCAGTTTCCTGCACTGTCTGTGCTCAGGGTTGGGAAGTCCAAGTTTCCACATGTGACATTTCCTCAGCTGACAAGAAGCAAAGGACCCCTAAAGTTCACGACCAATAGGGACTCTCTTGGAGGTTCGAATCCATGGTTTTGTTGATCTTTTGCAGAAGTCTCCACCAAGCACTGAAATGCATCGACAGCTGACTCCCTCTGAAGAAAAACTGTCCACAGTACCCGATTTTTTTTTGCAAAGTTTCTTGAAGCAGAAACATGCACTTGAAATGTTATCTTTGATGTCCAAGAGCACTTCAATGGTAAGGAACAGTGTTTGGATGTTGCAAGTTTATGTCATTAAACATTTTGCTGAGGTGTGTCCAAAGCCAACACAGCAGTCTGAACTCACCCTCTGTTACTCACAGCCAAGCCTCTGTGATGACCCAAGCGGTGAGAAGCAGTGTGACACACAGGAAGCCGTACTACTTCAGAAGGTAGCATTTTCAGAGGGCGTCTCATGCAGCGTGCAGCTTATCACAAGTCCAGTTTCTTCAACTGCTCGTATGTCACAAAGAACTGTGGTTAGTTGTTAAGGCTGACAAAGAAAAAGCATCCCAACAATGCCAACTCATAGAAATAGAGCTGATAATCATGTCTGCTAGAGAGTAGGTATAGGCAGACCATGTACCATGATCCTAGTCCAATACGAGAGAATTTGTATTCAGCTACCCTAAGGTTAGCCAGCTTGGAACAGAAGATCAAAGCTGAGATTTAAAAAAAAAAAAAAAAAGACCTCCACATGGCTCGCTCTTGTGACTTTGCTAGAGTAGGAAGATTTTTTTTTCTTTAATGAACTTATTTTTTTTATTTTATCCATTTTTTCTTATTTTATTAATGTTAATGAACATTTACAGAGATTTTGGATTTCCATTCATTCATTGTTGCACTATTTTCATTTTCTCTACTCCACCCGTTTGTTCCTCAATTTTTTTCCCTTGAAAGTCTGTTTTAATTGTCCGATTGCCACAGTGCTTGTCAAAACCAGTTCTGATTAATCTCCTTTGTCAGTGTGTCCTTTGCCATTCCCTATCACTCCTCCCTGAGAGAGACTTCACCCTGATTCATAAGGAAAAGGGGACGGCATATTCTCTTAGCTACTTCCTGTGAGTAGGAAGATTTTTATGGAAGTTTCTGAGAGAGAATGAGTTAACAAACCCTGGGGAGCTCTCATCCAGGCTTTCTACCAGGAAGGACATGCCTTGGGAGGAAGGATCAGACAGAGAGAAACAAGGGGATGAAGAAAACTGACAGCCCCTATGTTATAACTTTGTCCTTCTACGGCTAAGAAAGGGTGGTGTGGTGGCTAAGTGGTAAGAAGTGATGCTACCAACCCAAAGTTACACAGTTCAAAGGCACCCTCTGCTCCACAGAAGAAAGACAGGCAATCTCCTCTCATGCCAGTGAAAACTGCTGGAGGGTCAGCTATAAATTGGTTCTGACTTTATGGTATATAACAACAACAACAAGGCTAAGAAAGCACCACTCCTTTGCTGCCTTCCCTGGTAACACATTGCAAATGATGTAGATCAGATGATTCTGGAGCTTATTCCACTTTGTCCACAGATACTCTCTAAAACAAATATTCTAGAAACAGTTTCCAAGCTACATCCGTCCCAAGGACGGCTGCGGGTCTGAAAGGAACTCTCATCGCCTTCTGAAATCTCAGATGCCCATAGCTTCTGGAAGAGTCTAAAAGGTAATTTTATTGAAAATTACTTTCAAACAGCTCCATCATTAAGATTCATAGTGTTAGATTTCCTAAAAAAGAAATAGAATATATTTCTCTTAATCAGAGGTGCTCTGATGGCCTAGTGGTAAGGAGCTGCACTGAAATCCTAAAGGCATGCAGTTCAAATCCACCAGGTAGGCAATCTCCTCCCATGCAATCTACTGCCTCTGAAAACCCATCGTGGGGTTCAGCTATGCTTTGGTTCTGCCTTGAAGCAAACAACATACACCCACACACACTTATCTATTTCCCAACTTCCAAAGAAAAGGATACAATGATATTCCACGGACCAAGTCTCAACCAATTTGGCCAAAACCCTTTGTAGAGAGCAAAAAATCCTTCATTCTTCCATGTCTGTAAGAAAAAAAATCATTACCTTTACAACTATGCCAAAAGCATTAATAATTAGTGAGTTAAACAGCCATATGATGCAACAATAGCACTGCTAGGTATATGCCCAAAATAACTCATTATAATCAAAAGTTAAAAAGAATTAAATGAACATAAAATAAATAAATGAATAAATGTATACAATAAAATATATACAAATGTATAGAGCTATTACTCTAGCATAAAGAGAAATGAAGTTCTGATGTATGCTACAATGTGGACTAACTTTGAAAGCACTGAGTAAAATAAGTCAGTAAGGAAAGAACCCATATTATATGCTTCTACTTTAATGAAATATCCAGAAGAGACAAGTACATAGAGACCTAGATTATTAGCGGTTACCAGGGTGGAAAGGTGGAGGGAAAGGGAATCTTGGCTTGGCTTAACTCACCGAGCTGCTGTTCAGGTGATGGGAAGTATGGAAATGAATAGTCATCATGGCTGCAAGGAGCACCAAGAGTGTAGCCAATGCCACTGACTGCACATGTGACAACTGCTGAATTTGCAAATATCAATGGTGAGACTGATCTTTTTCTTTTTGACTGATCTATTCTTGAAAATAAACTCCTGTGTGGAAAGCTGTCTAAGAAGATGAGTCCTCTGTCTCCTCTGCATAACTCAGGTTTTGTGCTCAACACCACCACAGCCCATACATACAGGCCATGAGCAGAGGCTGAATGACTTACTCCAGGCTTAATTCCACTTTCATACCATCTGGGTTCATAAATAGTTCTGAAAGTAGCGACGGTGGTAAAAATATCATAGAGAGCACCACCATATCATAAGTTGCTGGCCTAATAAAAATAACGAGTATCTTTAGGTCATTAAGCAAATATGTAAAGAGTGAAAAATGGAGCCGTCAAAGTGGCCCCTAATCACTGGATGGTAGGAACCCGGCGGGAAGACAGTCACAAGCTTTCAGTCACACATCAACAGTATTCTCAGTTACAGAAGCTGAGAATTCCAGCAAGATCAATGAGTTCCTCCAAGAGAGAGCAGAATGAAGGACACGTGTTCCAGTCTGATGACACAGAAAGGACACAAGTGCTACTAGGATCACAATGAAAATTTCATCACTCATCAGAGCACAGCGGAATATAAAGAGAAAGCACTTTCATTCCTAAATATTCACCTGTGTGTTACAGTTCTGAACATGAATCCCAAGGAGGTCAGTATGCTGTAATTCACGCACCCCTCCAGGCTCCTTGGTGTCACATATCTTAGCACTAATTCGCTCATAGTTTAGATACTCTTAGGTCAGATACACAGATTTGGAGCAGAGACTCACTGAAGCAATCCATTAAGAACACTGAAGGTTAAGTAAAAGAAACGTGCTTATTTCTAACAGGGTCCCTGATTATCCCTGGTAGCATTTAACTATTCAGAGCTGACTACAGCCCAGGTATTGTCTCACTCTCCACAATGATCCTATGATAGAGGTACTATTACTGTTCCCATTTAACTGATGAGGAAAATGAAGAATAAGGAAAACAATGACGTCATCCAAAGTCACACGATTTGTAAGTGATAAATCCTAGGTTTTTCTTAGACCAGAACCTATGTCCTTGAATCATTATGAAAATCAGCTCTCTGGAGGGTAACAAGGAAGTGAATGGGCAATGGAAGGCGTTCATGACCTGACACAGACATCCATTCTCACCTGGAGCAGGCAATCCAAGGTACCTGTGTAGCCAGAGCACCTGCCATCTCGAATGACTCTTTGGTTCATCATACGTGTTCTCACAACATCAACTGGGTTGGAAGCCAGGGCCCCTGCCAGGCCACAGGTGAAGCTTGAGCTATGAAGAACGATATACAAGTTATAGTCAACTCTACAAAAGCAGAAAGGCTCTCAGTGAGGTCCCTAACTGGAGCTGCACAACGTCTTTAACACCAACACTGATCACACTGGCTAGAAATTCTAAGACGAGTATCTCTGCAATTCTGGAATGCTGCAGAATGAGATACAGGGAAGCGGTGCACTAAGGATGATCTACTTTAGCCATTACGAGGTGCTCAGGCAGTCTGCAATCAAGTATTAACCTAAAAGTCGGCAGTTCAGACCAACGTAGAGACTCTGAAGAAGAAAGGTTTGGCCAACTACTTTTATATAGTGTATTGCCAAAAAAAGCCAATGGAGCAGACGTTCACAGCCTGCATGGAGTCACCACGAGTCAAAACGGACTCAAAGGGCATTTTGACTCGAGTCAAAATGAACTCAAGGGAATTTCTGCCCTTGGGCAGAAGAATAACTCTGTATATTACATTTTTCCCTTAAAGATCAGAGACAAGGACTTCCTCACTATAATACCCACCAGGAGTCCCTGAAACCCCTTAACTCAGAACAGGGTTTCTGAACCTTGGCCCTTTGACATCTTGTACAGGATAATCCCTCGCTGTACCATCTGGGCTTGCACACTGTATGGGGAATGTGTAGCAATATCCCTAGCCTCTGCCCACGAGATGCAAACTGCCCACGTTGTGACAGTTTACTTGCCATATGTACTCCGAGGATAGGGGTTGTGAGTGAGAAATTGGCTCCTGCAGTAAGTTAAATAAATTATCATATATTCGTACAGTATGATATCTGTATGAATAACAGTATGAAACAGTTTGATAATCTGTAGCTATTATTAGCAAATGGACAGAAAATGTTTCAAAGGTACATACCTAAAAACAGTTATCTGTGTAAAACGGTAAGCACTTTTACGTTTTCCTAGAATACCTCTGTATAGTAATTTTGCAAGCATGAGAATATAATGCTTTTATTGTATTATCAGTCTGTATCAAATTTTCCCTTAATCTCACGCCTGCATAAATTAGTAATTAAAAAATAAAAATCACCATAAACATACAGGAAGTGGGTGTACACAGTGTCCCCCATCAGGCCAGAGAGAATCAGGTGCTTTTTGGTGATGTCATAGACAGGCAGCTCCACTCCGACCACAATCGCTGCCCTCTGAGCAGTGAGGGACACACCCTGGGAAAGGCATTAACAAGAGAAATGATACAGGTATCAGGTTACTTTCCATAGAGTAACCTCTGCAAATTTACAGAGGTTCAAATTCACAAACTAAACAATACTTTTTATGTTTTCCTGCAGGGAGTTGGGAGATTTAGAGTGGCACAGTGGAGGAGCAGGACAGGCTAGACAAAAATCAGACGCTTGAATCTACTTCTGGTACTGGCCCTGACCATGTGACCTGCCAGCACAATTCCCTTCTGGGAGCCCGTGGTCTCCTTTCAGACACTGAGAGGATTGTACTGAATGGCATTCAGGGCCCAGCCTATGAACTGGTGAGTCACCAGACCACGAGGAAGTAGCATTCCATCCCAGGGCTCCCTAATAATACAGCGCTGATTTCTTCACATTCACACTCTGCTGCCAAGTTGGAAATGACTCACAGCTGACCCTCCATGGCCTTTCTGAGGCTGTACATGTACATGGAACGGGAGGAGACTGCCCACCTTTCGTCCTCGGAGCCACTGATGAATCTGAATCACCAGAGAAGCACCACCCTCGGGTGAGCAGCACAACTCCTTACAGACAACCATCAGAACTCCCTAGCCAGGAAATCATGGAGACAAAATCTCAAGCTAGCCTTAATCTAGAAACCTTTGCTGTAACAATTATAAACAGAAAAGGCAAAATTTTAAAACCCTCAATCTTCAGACTTTCTTATCATTCAAAAGGCATTTTCATGATATTATTCTTGTATTTCCATTCCAAAGACAAGGAAACTAAGGAAGATATATATATATTCGATATCAGAAAATGTCACTTTCCTCCATTTCTCCGCGATGCTTTTTGGATTAAGATAAAAGAAACGGGAAAATGGGGGGGAAAAAAAGAGGAAAGGCAATACTTAAAGAGTCAGTCAGTGGGGCCCATTGTCTGCTTACCTTCCACAGTCCTCTGGTTCCCTCTTGCTGGTAGATGTTCATGAAGTTGCCGAACATTCCTCCTTGAATGGTGTTGCTCTGTGCTTGCATCCGGATCTACAGATTGTTTTAAAGACCAACATGAGATGAAAGCAGCACAGCACATTCCTACTGTATATCTGAGAGCCACTCAACCCAGTATTAAATAATGGTTAAGGGAAGAAAATGTCCTCAGCAGACTCAAAACAGGCAAGGCTTGGTTCGTATAAACTCCTAAACAACCCAAAATAGCTAGAAAGACCAGGGAAACAGGCATATGCAGCTCACTAGCTTTCAAAATTAAACCAACGTTTACAAAAAGAGTCTTTTAAGAAGAAAACAAGGTATGTCTTGGTCACTATGTAGAAAAGAGAGGCAGCGACGGTCATGCTAAAGATTTCATGGAGCTAATGGCAGCGTTTGGTGCACTAGGCTTGTGTACACACAGTTTTTAAATTAGTTACTTGGAGCCACGCTATTTCTAACCAGCTGAATCAAAGGGGCCAACCAGATGGCCATGAGATGGCCATGTGCTGGACACGCTTTACCACCTTTGAACTTACAACTGAACTTCACATTGGCACAGAACCCAAATGACCTAGATCCTGACATAACAGTCACATCTGCTATAGCTCTCTTTTATAGTTCATTTTTAAGAATGAACAGGGGTATCTTACTAAAAGGTGAGAACCTTATTTTTGTTTAGAGAGGATAACCCATGAGTCAGAATCTTTCTGTTTTTTTAATGTGCTCAATTATTGTTGTGGTAGTAGTGTCACGTCAAGTTGGAAGTAACCCCTAACTGACCCTCCAGTGGGTTTTCAGAGGCAGTTAATCACATGGGAATTAAGTGCCCGTTTCTCTCCTGCACAGCAGCTGGGGGATTCACACCTTTACACTGGCAGTGCACTTCGTTCCCACTAAGCCACCAGAGCTCCCTAGCATTCTCTTAGGATGGTCAAAGAAATAATTTTTTGAAGAATATTCTGAAGAGTAAATTTGACACTAGTCTCCTTATAAGAAGATAGCACGGAGAAGATGGAGACAGGATGGGTGGTGTGTCAACAAACCAAGAAAGACTGAGGCAAAAACCACCCCCAGAAGCCACAAGGGAGGTGTGTGGCTTCCCTTCGGGCCTCCAGGAGAGGCTGCCACCACTTGGATACTTGGATTTTGAACTTCTCTAGTGGTGCAGGCTGTAGGGAGCTGTGCTGCTAACCTAGAGGGTATGCCTCTTTGGTGGGTCAAATCCAGCAGTGGCTCCTCAGTAGAAAGATGAGCGATCTACCCTCATGAAATTTATAGCCTCAGAAACCCACTAGAGGGTCAGCTATGAGTCTGTTCCAACTTGGCAGCAGTGAGTTCGAGTTCAGTCTCCAGAACTGTAAGGGAATAGGTGTCTGTTATTCTAAGCCATTAAATTTATAGTCATTTCTCAAGGCAGTCCTAATGAAAACTAACACAAGGTGCAAACACATTACATCTAACTTTTAAAGCAAACCCATTGTCATTGCACTGACTCGGGTTGATGGTGTTAAGCGCAGAACTGCTTTTACTACTGTCAGTTCTGAAGCCGGCCGCCAGGCTTTTCTTCCACAGTCCTTGGGTAGGTTCCAATGGTCGGCCTTCAGGTAAGCAGTAGGTGCAATCTATGTGTACCACCCAGAGGCCTTGCCTAGCTTCTAAAGGGCATTGTTACTGCAATGCTAGCCTTGGAAGAACACCAAGATGTAGCAGGTGACTTTCCCTAAACCTTGACGTATAATGAATGGATGAACAGGAGTACGCGTTAACTTCCCTTAACTCCCTCACCCTAACCAGCACACAACAAAGGTACAGCAAAGTGTCTGTTTTTCTTCTTTCTAACACACTCTCCCTTCATGTGGTGCATGCACACTTAACCTGCTGTACACAGGGCCTGGCCTGTATACAGCATGAGACCCTATCAGGCCCATGCTCTCTAAGGGCAGGCCCTTGTCTTACTTTGTATTTCACATATACCAAATGATACAAGGTTAAATAATGGAGGGCAAGTGGTAAGAGAAAAAGAATAATGCTCTAAGAAGATTAAAAAGTAACACAATCCTTATTTTTATTTCATATGAGTTATACTACTTTATTCTAAATAGTATGAAGGAGGCTGTGTCTTAATAAAGCCACCTAAAGCAGCCCATCCATTTTTCACGAACCAACAACAAAAGGGAGATTTTCAAAGAAGAATGATATCCAAATGTCCTTGAGTCTACAAAGTAGTTTTTCCTGCTTAATTACCAGATCCAGAGCTCTACTTTTGAGCTCATCTCTATGAGTAGGCAGATTTACCTAGTGGGTATTTAAAAACTGTTGCTGTTGTTGCTATGTGCCGTCAAGTCACCTAAGACTCATAGGGACCCTTCGTACAACAGCTATGAGCCCTGCTCTATCTGAGCCAACCTCATTGTCTCTGGCATACCTTACCCTCATTACCCCAGTCACAGAGTCAATCCATCTCATCAAGGGTCTTCTTATCCTGTGCTGTCCTCCACCCTCCCAAGCATGATGTCCCTCTCCAAGGACTAGTCCCTCCTTACAACATGTCCAAAGTATGTCAGAGATGGAGAGCTTCAAAATTCTTTAAAAGTTAGGGTCTTTATAAATGTTGGTTATAAAAAGACATACAAACAAATCAAACTCACTGATGCCGAGTCACTTCTTACAGCAACCCTCTGATGGGTTTCCAAGGCTGCAAATTTAATGGGAGACAACTGTCCACCTTTCTTCCTGTTAGCTGCTGGGTTAGCAGTGCAACTCTACGGACTACATTATAAGTGCTCCTTTTAAACACACAATCCAGGGGGGATGACTACAATCCATGGTCCCCTACGTGGTGCAGAGTGAACATGCTCCCTACTGTCTCCTTGGCTGGGATCTTTACAGAAGCAGATCACTGACATTTCTTGTGTGGTGCCACCAGGTTAGCTCAGGTGTGAGCAAACTGCCCACCCAGGGACCCACATGAACATGAAGACTATGAGACCTGACGATTATCATTAGGCGGATATTGTTCTCAATAAGAAAACATGCACTGTGACTGTAAGATAGAGACAGCTGTGCTTACTTTCAAAACATCAGTCGGATTAGCAATGGCTGAGGATATAACTCCAGAGAGAATTCCACAAACGACATTTATCAGTAGGGTTTCATCTGTAAACAAAGACATATCATTATTTGTCCTCTGATACTTATAGAGCTCTTCCTGTAGATAATTTAAATTACCTCATTCATTTATATGCTAATTGGTCAGCTTAAGACAATGAAGAAAGTTATGTTTTATGAAACAAATGGTTGCAGAAAGATTAGAATTTTGCTGACTAACGACATTTGGCTTAGCAAAATTTCTTGACATTTAAAAAGCAGGACGAATCAACAAACAAGGTGGATAATCAACTGACTTGTGCCTGGAAATTCAAACCATCCTAACGAAGACAGGGCACAACTGTCAAAAAAAAAGACATACTTTGATGAGGTAGGCACAGCGAGGCTTAAAGTTCATCTTATCTATTTCAAAACACACAGTACTGAAGCACTTCCAGAAAATCTTAGCTCCTGCTCATCCCTCTTACACAACAGTAACTAGTGACCAGTGTTTGTCTCATAGTCAAAATATAAAGTTCTAAAGATTTTTAAAAAACCAACAAAAAAACCACCCACACAAAAAACAAGTCATAAATCAATCAGCAATAGAGTATTAGAACATTGAGTTCTTAATTCTAAGAATTGTATCCATTGCTTTCCTAGAAAGTAGGCAATAACTGCTGTGGCTTTAAAAACATTTAAGTAATGTCAGATCCTCTGGCCTAATTATTGGGAAATGTCAAATACAGCTCATAGGGACCCTGTGAACACCCAGTGTGAACCTTGCTGTATCCTGCACCATCCTCACCACCTCTGATATACTCAAGCCTATTGTTACAGTCACTGGGCAATCTATCTTGTTCGGGGTCTTCCTCTCTTTGTCTGTCCCTCTCCCTTTTCCTGACCACATGTCAAAGTATCTGAGCTGAAGTTTCACTACCTTTGCCTGTAAGGAGTACTCTGGTTGTACTTCCTCCAAGACAGACTTGTTTGCTCTTCTGGCAGTCCAGGGGATATTCAGAAGGCAACTAATAAAGATGGCTCCTTTCAGTCCACATTCCCACCAGGATCCCTAAGTTCTGTTGACAGTGGATTTGTTTTAAGTACCACACCTTTTAGAATTTACACCACGCATCCTCCTCAAAATGTTTACCCAAATATGCCGGAAAAAAAAATCTAATGCAAGACCACTTCAGTAAAAGACAACTCATCTCCTGTCCATAAGTGAAAACGGATTCCCCACTCACCTTCTGGCCGTTCAACAAATAAGCGCTTCAAGCTCTGGTAAGTGCCTATCTTGATGGTGCCGTAAGAAGCCTGGCGCAACATTGCTGGAGCAATTCTGTTAAAGGAATATATGCAAAGGCTCGGTGTATTTATTTTTTTATGTGTGTACCATCAAATTGGATCTGACTGGTACAGGAGGCGATTGTTCCTCCTTCTTCAGCAGAGCATCTGGTGGATTTGAACCGTGCACCTCTGGGATTGCAGTGCAGTTTCCTGCCACTAGGCCACCAGAGCTCACCACTGGCTCAGTGTATTTAAAACCCTCTAGGAAACACATACACCAAGATGCAATCATGAACCTGCCTTCCTCAATCAATGTTCTTAAATTCAAAAGCCAACAAAAATACACCATGCGGTCCAGTTAAATGTGTGCAAAGAATCAATCCATTACATAAAAAAGCAGACTCCAAAACAGTTTTCGGATCCAGCACCAATAGAAGCTGGCTCACTAAACACTGAATGAAACAAATGGTGTCCACTGCGATTCATCCACGGAGGATGCAGGGCCATGTTTTATTATGGCAAAACCTTCAGAAACTTAGGGGAAAGGCTATTTTCAGAATGGAAAATGCAATTACATGATGGCTTAAAATAATATTTTATGTCAATTTTTATATTATTGTCTGCACTTAAATATGACAAAAAGATTGCTTCACCAAAAATTTATCCTAAAATACACATTTAGAAAATAAATTGAAATCAAAGTGGGAAATACACCACTGACTACTTTCCAAATACATCCCCAATGTTCACTTTCTGTCTGTAAAATCCCGAGCTTCATTCTGTTCACACGACAGGGTCAACACAAAGCCCGAGAGTGTGGAGGTCCACTCACCCTGAATACAGCGCTCTCAGCCCTTCCTCCCTGCCGATCCTCACCAACGCGTGCAGCATGCCGCGATACCTAATCTCTTTGAAATTTGCATCGTTTGTCTGGCCTTGAATCTGGAGACGTGTCTTGGTTAAATCAATTGGAAAGGTACCTGAAAATTTTGAAGGAAGAAAAAATTGTTGTTAAGTGCCAAAAAAATAAATTTTTTTTGAAAGAAGAAACATTTCATTTCATAAACAGAAGATCCACAAAATGAAAGATACATGGTGGTGTGTTACCAAGGAAACATTCAGACTATGATCTAAACCAAGAAACAGAACTAAGAAATGGTAGGCAGTTCATAGACTTCTTCCTTTTTTAAGGTCTTTTTTAAAACCAAAAGATGAGTAAAACCTTCCCCTTAAATATGCACAAATGCATTTTCTTTTCTATACTTTATAAATGTATCACGAGATTTGAGAAGCGTGCATCACCGTCCAACCATCATCAGTCAGTCTGCCCTCCTGTCGTGGCTGGTGGCTTACATGTTGCTATGATGCTAGAAGCAATCACACTAGTATTAGGCTTCAGCAGAGCTTCCAGACTAAAGCAAACTAAGAAGCAAGACTTGTCATGCACTTCTGAAATCACAGGTCTTCAAAAAGTCTACGAACAAGGGAGTTCTGGTGGCCTAGTGGTAAAGAAGATGCACTGCAATCCCAAAGGCGTGTGGTTCAAAACCACCAGATGCTCCATTGGAGAAGGAAGGGCAATCTCCTCCTCTGCCAGTAGGATCTGATTTGACGGTACACAAGAAGAAAAGAAAACCAAATTTTTTTAACAGTCTATGAATAATGTGGAAATAGCAATATGTTGTTGTTGTTGTTATGTGCCGTTGAGTCGTTTGTGACTCATAGTGACCAAAATGTGACTGGAAGAGTTGCCTTCTGAAGTACAGTCTACTTTAATGGCAAGGATGGAGAAAGCCCTTCAGGCAATGTTGCTGTTGTTGTTAGATTCCATAGTCAACTATAACTCAGAGCCAACACTATGAACAACAGGCCTAAACCGTGCCCTGTCCTGTACCACACTCACCCCCCACCATGCACAAGCCCGATGTTACAGTCTCTGTGCCAATCCATCTTGGAGAGGATCTTCTTTCATTTCACTGACCATTTTCCAGCATGATGTCTTTTTCCAACCTCTCCTAACAACATAGTAAGTGTGTGAGATGAAGTTTGACCATCCTTGCCTTTGAGGAGCACCCTGGTGGCACTTTCTTCAAGATGAGTTCATTTGTTTTTATGGCAGACAATGGGACATCCAAGAATCTTGACAAACATCACAATCCAATGGCACTGACTCATCTTTGCTCTTCCTTATTTCAGGCACAGGAAGCAACTGAAAATATAATCACTTAGTTCAGGCACACCTGAGTCTTTAAACTGACATCCTTGCTTAAAGTTTGGAGAAATTCATGACAGATTTTCCCAGCGCAACACAACTTTTTTTTTTTTAATTAAATTTTATTAATTTTAATGAACATTTACAGGGATTTGGGGTCTTCATTCCTTCA